GTTTTTCACTTCCCTTATTTCATTGAACCTTTCATTCTTCAATAAAGTTGTATTTAATTTTTTTCTAATCTTAAGGCCTATGTCACCAGGAACATTGTTACATTTATCGGAAACTGTTGCAATAAAATTTGTTGATTCGATTAAACTTAAATTTTTCTTTTCCAATGAAGTTATTACATCAGGTAAAAAACTAAAATTAACCTTTATAAACACAAGTTACTTAGGCACAAGGGGATTTTTTAACAATTCTTTACTTTGCACTACACATTGTGAATTGTCTTCTATATCCAAAATTAAATCCTTAATTGCTTCAAAATTTTCTGCATAGAATATAGCTGCTTTAATCCAAGTCCCCCATCGCGTAATTACGGGTTCAGGGGGCAAACACACCCCTACCATTCTCTCTTTATACAACTGCACTCTTAAAGGGGCTTTTAAAAATATTTTTTTCACATTCGAAATTAGCTTGTTAACCAAGGGATATTCTGTTCTCACAGTTTCTGCAACTAAGTTTATTCCATGCAGAAGACAAGTAACGTGGACCATATTTGGATAAAATATTTTTAAGTTTTGCCCTACTTTTATCATATATGGTGCTGCGTCAGACAAAAACGCTAAGAACTTCTCTGAGGGAATTTGATTTGGTAAAAAAAATTCTGCTAGAGATTGTTGAATAAATCGGGTAACAGTTGTTTTGTTAGTTTTTTCTAACTGTTTTAATGCAATTAAATATGATGTACCTGGTTCATTTTCTTTTAAGGCTCCAATCTAAAGATGTACCATATATCTTCTACAAGCATCTGTGCTTTCATCAACAATGATGTAAAAATTGCTATCATCCAGTAAAACTTTAATTTCTTCTATTACATTTATATATATAGCATGTACATTTTTTTTTCTGTGTAGATTCGTCAGGAATGGTTTGATTGCAATATTTTTGTAAAAATTCTCTTAGATGTAGGTTTTGTAACTTCTTTAATGGAATATTTGCCGCAACAAGAGCTTTGCACAAGTCCTGATTAAATACCTCCTTGTCACTTTTTGTTTTGTCGGCGTTTTGAAATGACCTCACAACGCATTGTTGAACCGGTTGTGATTTCATTTTTTGCAATTTGGCTTTATGCAATGATGTTTTCACGTGTTGAACCACTTTGAACTTTTTTTCGCAAACCACTATTTTGGCACAAGCTTTACAAAAAACTTTATCCCCATTGATTTCCAACTCTGGAAAGTTAATAATCCACGAAGCAATTCTCGACATTTTAGGACACTTTTAAAACAACAAATTATTACAAGACTTTTCACTAGGCAAATAACGAGGATACTATCTCATTAAACTGAATGAAAAACATTCAAAATATTCCGATGTTAGGGTAGATTGGTTAAAAGAAATTACTGAGAATTTTATATAAACCGTAAATACCATTTATTAACAATTACCTTAATGGGCTTAATCTCTTAAGAAGGTAAAAAGCCAGTGCATGCCACCCTCCAAGAACTAATTAACAAGAATTTACAAGAAGTGACACTTAAAAACAAATACAAAAATTTAAAAGGTCTTTATTTCAAATATATCTGTATAATCTGTTAAAACAGTTTTTGATTTGCACAGTATAGTAATACATTTTTTTTTTTCGAAAATATGCAATATTTTCTTAAATTTTCTGAACTTTGGTAAAATATGCAATATTTTCTGAATTTTGGAAAAATATGCAATATTTTCTGAACTTTGGTAAAATATGCAAAAAATGCATATATATATATATATATATATATATGCATTTTGCATATATTCCGCCCTCTATTGATAACTGTTTCCTATCAAAGGAGGACCACGATCAACCAATATTCTGACTTCATCGTTGGTAATGCTTCTGGGCCATAAACTGGGGTCTTTTGATATAAGAATACTAGTATTCTTAGTCACCGCTTCAGTAGAAACTTCATCGTCAGAAGTGTCACTTGTAGCCGTCTTTGTTGGGATGGTCGACTCTATAGAGAATATATTTTCGATAAGTGATGATGATGTTGCAGAAGATGGTGGTGCCGCCGCTTCAGAAACTATATTTTCACCTTCCTCTATCGTTTTAGTGTTGGAAACTTGACTTTTTCACAAGAAATGTTTCATACTGCCAGCCATCTTCTCCCTTTCTTGGACTCTAACTTTTGCTCTCGAAATTTTGCACCAGAAGGTCGTTTTCTCTTCTGTGGCTCCTAAAAATTAAGGAATTCAATATTGAAGGTCATTTAGGTTTTAGTGCACAAATTTTAACAGAAAAAAGAGGCATATTTTTTAAACCTAATTTGCCACACAGGAAAAAAATCACATTTCCCGATTTTCAGATGTGAAAAGTATTAAATTACTTTTGTAGTATTTTCCACAATATCTTATTAATAGCCGACATAAAAATTTGGTACGCTTTGGTAGCGTCTTGCCAGACTACATGTTAAACGGAAAAAAATAGTTGCGATTCTCCTGACCTGCTCAGGTAATAAATATGTATTTGCTGTAAAGAAACGTATTACTAAAAAATGAATAATAATAAGAAATGAACATAAAATTAAATTAAAATGTTATAGTTATTTAATTTGATATAAACAAAAAATATAGAGGACCCAGTATAGTAAAAAGTTAGTAAAATAAAAACTAAATATATTTTCAAATTGACGAAGCGTAAAGCAAATAAACTATTTGAATTTAGAAATTTTTTTATGTGTCCCAATATCCGACCAGGACAAAAAAAAATATATTTAAAAACTAAAATTCCTCTAGTAATAAGTTCAACTATACATTACTTTAGAAAAGAACTTATGAACTGAACTAAAAAAGATTTAAAGAAAAAATTATCAAGATGGTTTAGAAAATTTCAAAATAATTGATTTAAAAACACTGGTACAAAACGCTTAATAATCTCAATAAATGCAGTTTTTTTTTTGTTTCAAATCAAATCATCCTTATAAATCAAATGTTGCTTGTATTTTGAAAATGGCCCTTATGATAAAAAAAGCACGCACCAATCAACTTATGGTCAGGCGAAACGATACCACAATTTGAGCTTGTCAAGCGAATCGAGAAATTTTAATTGGTCAGGCGAAATGGGAACAGGCGAATCGGGCATAAATCAAGTCAAATACATAGGTATTATGTGGGTAGGTACTTACAATTTCATAAAATTTCATTACAACACAGTACTTCGTCGAATATTTATAACTATAACTTTGCGTCTTGGTTGTTGACCTTCACGTAGCCGAAGAAAATATTAATTATTTGGATTACGACTCCTCCTGCAGTTTTATTTATACTCGTGGTCTCGTGGTTCGTAGATGAGTCTTCAAGTCTGGACAGGAAAATTCGACAAGATCTAATATGAAACTTATTCGTCGTACAATATTCGAGTCTGGTCAGAAAAAATCGACAAGTTTATACTTTATACGGGTACTCATGGTATTGCATGTTGCACACAGGATTAACTATCCTATTGATTTTATTATATTTAATAATTAACGCTAATTGAATAGCTATTTGATTTCAAAAATAGATATGCTTTCTGTCACAATAGAAATAGGTCACTATATCAACGAACATAAACTTCGATAACATTATTGATTTATTATCATGAATTGAGATAAAAACATTTTTGATTTCTTTAGTGTCTTAGTGCCTTGTTCATTGGAATCGTTAGAAAAATTAAAAATTCGAATTGTATACAGACCTCCGGTTTGGCGCTCCTTTAAAGGTGCGACCGCGTGCGGTACACGCGTTGCACGCGCAATTGCGGGGGCCCTGATAAAAAAGAATGAAATTATGATTATGCAACTAGCAATACAAGAAAGTAATATTGGTTGCATAGATATCAGTAATTTTTTTACCAAAACACAATTTTATGAATAATCTAGTCAAAATTAGAAAAAATATTGTATGTACCTAATACGTTACGAAATGCTCGTCCAGCACATGTCCCGCAAATATTTACTTGTTACATAAAATAAAGCATTTCTTAACTGGTTGTTTAAATAGCTATTGTTACCTAATAACAAAGTTAGAATAATATTAATTGGATTCAAACTAACTTGTTGTGGACTGTAATCTTGATTTTTCACATTAAATAAAACTCTTGATACGTTTGTGAAACAATATTTATTCCTGCTTTCGCAGCGTGCAGTTACCGAATACCGAATGTTGCAAAAAACAAAACAATTCTTTTGTCTCGAAGTTTGAGATGTTGCCAAACTCTACATAATATCTAGTTTTACATTAAAAAATAAATTTTACATAAAAAAGGCAGGTACAAACCTAATCATTAATTTTAGAAACATACTATTTGCGTATATTTTCGCACAGATTTTAGACAATTTCCAAAACAGGCAATATTGAAAATGTAAAGTATAATTCTAGTTAAATGTACTGGTATAAATCCGAAGTCAATATAGATTTTTATATAATTGCCATAACTAAATGTCTGAAAAAAACAAATTTTCATTCCGGTCATAAAAATTTTGAAATTTGATTCTTCTCTAAATTTCTTATTATCATTTTGAGGAAAAATAATGAAAATTATAGAGACAATAAAATATGGTTTATTTCGAAATTTAGAACTTATTGTTGAATATTATTTTTCGACAGCGGACGCATTGACCTCCGCCTGGATTTATTACAGTTGGCTACACTTGCTAATAATAGTATTAAACACGAATTTGAATCAACTTTTTTTTAATATATTTTTAATTTTACCAATATTTTAGACCAATAATGTGGGGAGTAGTAATAATATTCCTGATCGTATGCACCCTTACATTCCACTACTTAGCCAGATTTCACGTAGAGGCTACAGAAAATGAAAATCAATCAATAACAGATTCAAGCTCGATAAACTCAGTTTCCAAACTGAAAAAAATTATAACTTTATCTTTATACCCAGCATACGAAAAAATGGATCCTAATACAAAATATGTCCTCATGAAAGAACAATATCAAGTGGTCAAAAAAGAAGGAGAAACTACAGGTAAAATAACCAAATATTAATTCATTTATTTTTTACATTTCTTTCAGGTTTATATCAGTTTAGTGAACCTGTAAACAGCGCACTCTATGTATTCAGTATGTTATTGCTAGTATCGCTACCTAAGTTACCAACTGGATGGTCTTTAAGAGTTCTGACTGGCTGGTACTGGCTTTACTGCCTTTTGGTGGTAACTGCGTATAGAGCGAGTTTGACTGCTATATTGGCTAGACCAACACTAAAGTAAATGGATGTTGTTTGCCTAAATTCATACCCAATACATCTTATTTTGTTGTAGAGTAAAAATCGATACAGTTCAAGAACTAGTCGATAGCAAACTTACTTATGGAGGTTGGGGCGAAATCAACCGCGAGTTCTTCAAAATGTCTTCGGATCCAACCATAAAACTAATCGCAGAAAATTTTGTTACAGTAAATGACTCAGGCATGGCAGTGGATAGTGTTGCGGAAGCTTCATTTGCTTTTTACGAAAACACTTACTTTCTAAAAGAGGCTTTGGTAAAACGACAACAAAGGTTTCAGTCGCTATTTATAAATTCTAATAGCAAAAATTCTACCAATGAAACTAAATTTCAAAATAATGTGGTTCAAGATGATAGAACTTTGCACATTATGGAGGATTGTATTATTAAGATGCCTGTTTCTATAGGTAAGGTTATCATCACTTTCATAAAAAATCTAGATTCAAGCATCTCTATATAAATATTTGATTTAGGTCTGCAGAAGAATTCGCCCCTGAAACCACGGATGGATGAATATATCAGGCGTGTTTTGGAGGCAGGGTTTATTAAAAAATGGCTTGACGATGTGATGCAAAAAGTTCTTAATGCCGAAATTCAGATAGAAGATACTGGTAGTACTAAAGCGTTAATGAATATGAAAAAGTTTTCAGGCGCCCTGGTAGCACTTTTATCAGGATATTTTATAAGTACTATCATTTTGATTGCTGAAATTTCGTATTTTTATTTTAGAGTTAAGAAAAATCCAAATTTTAATAAATATTCGAAACAAATTGTCATTAAAAAGTCAAAATAAAAATGATGAAATGGGATGGATCAGAGATTTGAATCCGACCACAGACAGATTTTTAAATTAATTAATTATTAAATAGAAAATAATAATGCAAGTTATGTAATAATAAATAAATAATTCACTAAACTGCTTACATTGCTTTTTACTATTTTATGTAAAATATGTTTTTCAATTTGATTCCAGTTCCGAAGTAGGATTTTATCAAAACAATGAAAAATGATAATGACAAATCTCCAAAAACGTTCAGAAACGATGTTAAAAGTTGAAGAAAATACTTGCCATTAATTGAGCGTCATAAAAAAGTACTAAGGAACTCACTAACATATCTTTTAAAATTTACATAAACTTTTTTCCAAGTAAAATGAACTAGTAAACACGGATCACTTAAAATGTGAACAAAATGTGAACAAAATCGGGTTCGGGTATGATTTTTCTAATGTTATTTCGATGCTTTAGCGTCGAGATTTTTCCTGTGAAAATATGCGCTGTATCTGAGGTCTGTGCAGAACCGGAATCTATAGAGGACTAGAACTTCCTAGAAGGACCGAAATGTGGACAAAAACTCTTGGTCCTCGGCCTTTCGGCCTTCCGTTCACACTTATTTATTTTAAATTGATGTTGAATATGAAAGATAGACACTATCCACACATACAACGGATCATCTATTTCTAATAATTTGGTCTTTTGCGCAGGTTTATTACGGTAGGAATAAAACTAGATAGAAAAACGACGTTATTTTGGACTACTTGTACCATGTGACCTACGATTTGACATACATCTCCTTAAGATTAAAATTTGGGGAAACCCGAATATAGAAGATACCATTACATCACGATGAGTATTCGTGTGCTGTTATCAATCGCTTTGGTAACATCGCCCTTGTATAGTATTAGTGCTGGTGAATTGGCTTGTGAATATTAATCGTATCAACAACTAATCGTCTACGCCACTATTTTCTATCTATCTATCTGTCTGAATCATATAGTGTGGTTCAAAACCTAATCCATGGAGGAAGGATAGGCGCACTCGTACTGAAGCTCTAGGCTTATTGTACACTTCACAGTTTCTACCCCATCAGGTTAATATTCTTGATGAATTCATGAATGTCTGTCACCTCATTGGTTGGAGCACCAAAGTTGGTCATATAGCATATAGAAAGATCCAATAATCAAATTGATTTTCCCATCTAGCTTGAGGGATATTTCCACCAGGTCATTTGCACAAAATTTCCATAGTGGAAACACCTTTAAGCTTTTCTTTAAAATAATGCAGGTTCTTTAACCAATGAGGAGTGCCTGACGCGGATGACGTATTTATTTATTTAAAAACTTCCTTACTTGTAAAGAGAGCTGCAGGGACGGTTGAATGGGTTAATTTTGTTCGAGAGAAACAGTATTGTTGAATGTATGGCAACATTCTCCCCCCACGAATGGTGGGCCGGGGAGTGAATGAAAAACTAAATTGTTAATATGTTGATTAAAAAGAAAAATATATTTATGAATAATGTAAAGTAGTATTGTTGTTTGAACCACCCTGTAAGAAGTATGTGGTTGAAAGTATATGAAATAATAAGCAAAACAAAAGTGTGAAAAATATGAAATTATAATATTGTGTTCAGTCTAAGTATGGATTTTAGTATTATGTGTATATCCCGACTAATGGAGTGAATATATTATAAAATTTATTTCTCGTCTGATGGGGTAAACGTACTGTGCGGTATGTCCAGCTGATGGGGTGTGAACAATATAATCCTCATGATGCGGTATTTACAATAGATTCCGACTAATGGGGTATTTATGATATAAAAATATATGTCCCGCTGAGGGGTAGTTTTGATTTAAAAAATGTGTCCCGCCAGTGGGATAGTGTAATATGGCAGCAATGAATCCTATTTTCCTTAAAACACCAAGTCTTGTGACATGAAAATCAAAGCATGGTGCAATGCCAACTATTTGTATCTAAATAAGAAAAAAACAAAAATACTGACCCTTATAGAAAGTCATAACATTGAATATACTGATACAATAAATATTCTGAAGTAGTGGCCCGGCTTAGCAGATTCACTATCATGTATCGATATCTTCAGTCGAGAAGAGTCGCCCGCAGTTAGTACTTGGATGTGTGACTATCCGAGGAAAGTCGGCGTACCTATAAAAGTCCAAACAAACTGCCCGCATAGTTGCGTACCACAGTTGGAGGCGCTGTATCCATGAGTATGAGATACAATGTGGGGTGCGTCATCTTTCGGAGGAGATAAGAAGCTATTGGTCCCGAGTCCATGAATGTTGGGCTTGATAAAAATCCCTACCTCTCTGGTTAAGACACCAGAGGATTCGGCTAAATTTATGATATTTGGTGGTAGCGTGCTCACCAGCATCGATGTTTAAACCTCATAGTTAGAAATAGGCCGACGTTAAATAAATCAACAAAAAAAAAATTCTCTGCATTCATTTAGACAATAATTAGAAATGTAAGAATCATATACAGATTGACTAAACCAAAACCTTGTTCTGGATGTTTTGCAGTCAGAATTATGGTTTTAAACCAGCTAAAAGTGTATATTACGATCTGGTTGAGACCAATTTAAGATATATGAAATTGCACTTTGGGGAGGTTGTAGTTGTGAGTTATTCAATAGATACTCTTTTCTTTCTGCCAAAAAGAGCAATAAAACTTTTATATGGAGTTAACAATCTCGACACATTTTCTCAACCTTCTCGAGTAAGAGAATAATGCCACACCAATTACTATTGACGACATTGGATTGATCAAAAATATGGACATCATCGCAAAGACATATTTTTAATATAGCTAAAGCGCAAATTAAAATTGGTAAGGGAACATCTATCGGAAAAGAATGTTCTACGCTCATTCTTGAACTTTAAAGTTATAGTGAAAATAATGATATAATAGTCATGTAGGTATGTAATATGTACAATTGATTTCAGATAAAATGTGTATATGGACAAGCAAATACAATAGTTATTTTTCAGTGTGGTTGCGCCATTTATTTTGCACCCATCTTATACCTGTCATTAAACAAAACAATTAGCAAGTCGTGTCCTATTGGTCCCTATTGAAAAGCGTAGGTAAATAAATAAACAAAACCTATTTGGTTTTCTATGCTCGATTTTATGTGAAACCAACATTTTTCCGTTAACCGTTTATTAATCTATTTAGTTAATGTTGACAAAATCAGGCATAATTGGTTTGATTAATGGTCTACTTTCCATTAATAATCAATATGCTTGCATTGTTGTGAACTACTATCCAATTGATATATTTTGTGACGATATAAGCTAAATTGACACTGTCAAATCAAATCTTGAAACTTGTACGAAAGGTTGATTTTTTTATTTTTATAGAGATTTGGTCGTCGATAAAATCTGGTCACGAACTTTTATATTAAATGGCCATTAATACACTAGGTCGTTAATAAATTTCTTTATATAAATACCTATACATCTGTATTTTTAATATTGATTAAAATTACCTGTGACACCAACGTTGAACGTGTCGGCCACTGAACGTTTTCCAATACCCTTTGCACAAGTGCATGAGACAGTTTTAGCATTAGGGTGAGCCGGAAACGAATAATATCAGCGTTGTCATTTTATGCGACCCGACCGACAACGTTACAACGTTTCCTGCTCGTCTAATGCTAACTCGCTATAGTTTGCCAAGTGTATTGAAAAACGTTCTATGGCCGATATTGTATGTTTGTGAAAATCAAAACTCCTAATTAAGCAAAAAATAATATCAACATTGGAAATAAATCCGGCACTGTTTAATGACGCAGCATCGCCTGAAAACGACTCAATACGCTTGCTCCGTAGTGCCGCAACGAGATTGGATGCATATATATGGATGGGATGGGGTGGAAGGAATGGTAGGAATTGTGGTAGGTATCTGAGAGGATGTTACTGAAAGAGCATTATTATTTTGTTCCTGCTATGAGAAAACCTCTCAAAAAACTCAAAGCAGGCCAGGCACCGATGGGATTCGAACCTACAACCTCTCGAATACGATGCAGATGCGTTACCACCATTAAGATAGAATAAAAGGGAGATGATATGACGATGCTAAATTGTCCGCACTTTTGCATTACATTTTTACGTCAATGTCAAACTCGAGATATTGTAGCTAGTCAGTTTTGGTGAGAATAAATGCCATTTTCTTTAAATAGCTTCATATAAATGATTTAATTTTTTTTTTCATTCTGTCAGTCTTCAAAATATAAAATTAATGACTTCAAATAAATCAAAGTCGCCATTTTCATTACACTTTTCCGTCACTGGAAGTGGCGTCTATTTGTCATATCGCAAAATAGAGTTTATGTCGTCTCTACTTTATTCTATCTCGATGGTTACCGCGAATTGCAGAGCCCTTAGAACATATATAGTCTTGTTAGTTATTTCGTGACTAAGCATACAAATAATGCGTTGAATGTACATTTAAAAATAATCTATTTTGAACTCATAGAATCATTATTACATTATAGGATCCTTTCTTGGAAAGGTGTTTTACCTGCTTATGCAAAATTGTCCTGCAAAAAATATTAAATAAATATTAATAATATTATGTAATAAAATGATCAGAAATTCTCTTCGATATTAGGAAGTTTTATATGTACTCCAACAAAAACATCTAAGAAAGAAATATCACAGCGGTGTTTGACCTAAATATAAGTATAGGATATTTACTTTTTTTTAACGCATATCTACAAAACATATTTATTTTTCAAACCTTAATAGTTTGTAAAATGTAGATTAATAAAGACATTGTCATAATAAAGACGTAAAAAAGTCAATATTTTTTTTAAATACATTATTGCTTCGATTTTTCAAATGAAATCCCTTTATAAATTATCCCAAAAATATTTTGCTATATTTGTCCGACCCAACATGCAAATTTAAAGTAAAATTTATTCACATAATGAAGGTTAATAAAAAAAATGCAAACTTCTCGCAAGAAAATAGCAATTCGTTAAAATGAGAGAAATCGGTAAATTTAGATAATATGCAAATGAGAATTTATTATTTTCTTTTCTACGCCAATTTATGACAGTACGTCACTGGTAGACCGGAAACACTTGTCGCCATATTCGTATGTATTCGTTTAGTTCGTCAAAATTAGATACCATCGCGATTCCAAGGTCGTTTAGGATTCCTCTTCCTGACTATATGTATATTCTAAGGCAGAGCCACCCCCTCGGTAGGGGCTCCGTTGTCATGGTAACTTTGTTTTGATTAGTAAAAATGACGTCACACTATCACAATCCATTATTTTGTGAAGTTGGCGAAGCTGTTTAGATAATGCGAAGAACCCTTCTATTACCGACCGGTAAGTAAAATAATGTGACATTTGGGACATTTGACAGAAGTCCATCAAATTGCAAATGGCAGTAGTGTCATAGTGTCATGTTGTTCTAAGGTGTTACGTTATTTATTTGGTGAAAATTGACATTAAAAAAGTTCATTGGAGTAGAAATAGCGAAATATCTGAAATCTATTGATATGAATAATAAAGAAAAATTGCCAAAACTGGTGGATGTATATCGCCCATCGACCCCTCTGTGCAGGAGGCAACTGCCCCTAGTTGTTGATGAAAATTTAACGGTAAACATTTATTGTTCTACTTAAACGACTTTACCAACCTTAATGTTACCATATTTTTATTGATTTCTTGTATAACTAAGTTTAAAATTATAATTACAAACATTTAAATGATTTGACCTAGAAAGTTCATCCTATCCCTTTTTTCAGCTTGTAATGGATGTGAAAAGTTCTGGGATCATTTGTGATAATCAAGTTTTAAGAGGTAAAGAACTGGAGGAATTCGCTCTAAAATGGAGTGTCCTACCTCCTTGTGAACTGCGAAAAGCTCTTCAAATAACTAAGTCTGAATTAATGCATGTCTTGAATCAAAATGTGCCATGTGTTGGATGCAGAAGAAGGTAAATATATATGTGTTAACTTTATATTTTTTATACATTGTAGTTCTAAATGTCAACAGAATACCAAATACAAACACTTCATATAATAAAAATATTCATGTACATATAGATTTATTATTTAAATTCATTAATAGCAATTTTATATAAAATCATGCTGTAAGAAAATTTATAATACACACAAACAATCCATATTAAAAAAAAAAATGTTTAGTCCTTTTTTAAACTTTTCCAAAGTAATAACCCCAAAAACATTACAGATAGTTTGAAGGCTTCCTAGTGGAACATTCTACAATTATATGTTTCTCTTGATGGTTATTCATCTGCTTTTTACAAGCTCAATACAAGAGTGCCTCAAGGCCTATTGTTTAACAATCTCAATGTAAGAGTAAAGTACCTCATGGCCTAGCATTTAACCTAACATTGTTCTTGCTAAGTAGTATTAACTGTAATATTTTAAATAACTATGTAGTTAAATGCCCATTGATTGTGAGATTCCATGCTGTCAAATTCCATGTGTTCACTAGAAAGAAAATGTATAACTGTTCCTCTTAATAATGACCTTGCAACTATAACCTCAAAAATCTGATCCATTAACCACTATACTGCTGTTTTAAGCCAAACCCCCCATAACTGACACATTACAAATATTTGAGATCATTTGACCATTTTGATACTAGAGTTTTTTTTCTTTTTAAAAAGTAAGCAAAATCGTGGTACCTAATTTGTATTCTATATCCTAAAAAGTTAACTTGATTCTATACCGTAACTAACATTTTTGTAGCAAAAACCTTTTAACCCACAAGATAACACAAAAAAATAAATCAAACTTATTTTTAATTAGTTGAAAGATTATCCAAAAATTGTCTTTGATTCAACAAATGCAGCTATATTGGTACCACCGATGAAATTTCTGACACTAATAATTTCTTTTATTGCAAATATCTCCATTCTATAGTTGGCATAGTTACTGAGGTTTTGCTTATGATGACAGTATACAACAGTTATGTTGTTCTGAAAACACTTATTTTATGCTAGTTTGTTGTATTTTCTCCTAAGATCCTATGTAGCAGACAAAGTAGGTCTTGGCATATATAACTTCCCTACATATTTGTAAAGCCACAGTATCAACATCTACAGCAGAGTTATTCATTTTATTTATGATTCAGATATTATCAAACATCTTGTTTCCCCTAACATGCAGCTATTGATTTGTAGGTTTTATTGACGTTTTTATTCATGTACTTAAAATATTTTTCAATGTTTTTCTCACTTTTAAACTTTTTTCGACTAGCTACTGGCTATAATAAATACACATACCTCGAATAATTCTCAAACTGACCTATACTCATTATTTAATTGTTAAGAATGGCTAATCTTTGGTACTCTCTGCCTATGGATTTTTTTATTATGATCAGCTTTATAAAATGTAAATCTAGTTTTGCTTGAATTATTTTGGTTAGTTGGACATTTTTGGTACTTACAATAATTTATATTTTTAATTTTTTTTTGTTTGTTATAGTGTTGATAGACTTTATTATCAGTTATTCAAATTTGGACACCCAACCCTAGATCCTTTGATTGTCAAACCAGATGGAACTATAACTATCAGAGAGGATAAACAAGCCTATCCAATTCTAGGATCTATATTTCATGATCATTCGTAAGTATATTTTAATATCTCTGTAAGTAGGGTCAAGTGGGGTAATTGTAAATTATTTTAACAGTTTTAACTTTAAAACTAAAAATCCATAACTTCTTATTTTTTAAACTTTATGAGATTTGGAAGTGATGTTGCTTAGTACTTTACCTGTTAACTTCCAGAGACAAACCATCATTAGGAAAGTAACTTTTATTGTTTTTCATCATTTACATTTACCCCTACATATTTACATTTACCCAGCTCAAAGGGGTATATGTAAACAAAGTTTTCCTGAAATATTCAAATCACAGTGGACTAATAAGGGGGAAATGAAAACAAATCGAAATATGTACGATTTTATAATTTTATTATTTTATTTAGAAGGGTATTTACATTTACCCCGAAATAGAATTTAAAAAATACTTTTTATATAGTAAAGGACATTTAACCGAGCATTTTACAGGCTTGGTACAAACAAAATAAAAATAACAAATTATAGGTTGGTAAACAGTTAACTTAACCCTTCTCCATTACAGTTTCACTTTTCAAAAATCGCAACTGAGCCCGTAAAAACGTAAACAAATTTTCTCTCACGATATTTAATGTTAGGTTCGGGTAAAATTGCTTTAATCATTTCAAATGTTATTGTGCTAATATCATTTGGCTTCTCTACAAACTCTGTTGAAGTAGCATTGAACCTCTCAAATCCTTGCACCACAACATCTGCATCTTCTCCATCTTGATGGATGTTTTGGATACAGCAGACATACTTATAATGGACTTTATTTCTCAGCCCCCCAGTAAAGTCTAAATTTTTAAAAATTTTTAAACTGTTTGTGCTTGTAAAACTATTTTGTGTTGTTTAGTTAATAATTGTCTTAAATGTGTTTTAATTAATTATTTTATTCAAAAAGACATCTGGTGGTTTAACCTAACCTACATTAAAATTTTTTTAAAAAAATACTTATTACACATGACTTTTTTAACTCGTTCTGTTAAACTTTTTGTAGCGCTTCCTTTATGGAATTAGTCAAGGTGTGCCTGATGATGAAGTGACAACTTCGAAACCGGTCGCCAATTAAATTGACTTGTGAGAAATAAAGGACCTTTTCTTTAACCTTCACACTTAATCCCTACTACTCACATATGGCTACCCTCACTCCAAATAATCTAATCTCAAACTTGAAAAGTGCTTAGAGTTGTAATTGTTTATTTGTTAACAAAGTTCTGGGGAGCTGGGCAGTAATTGCCTGGAAAGTGCTTGAAAAAGTGCTGGTAGTTGAATTTCGCATTTAAAGTACTTGCAAGTACTCAAAAGAGCTTGCAAACACTAAAGTACTTGCAAGCATAATTCAATTTTATGTGCTTGCTTATTAAGTATTACTGTTTTTTTTTTTTTAATTTAGTTTTTTGTTTTTCATTTATATGATTTATATCCAAACTTTTTAAGTCCCACTACAAAATTTGTGAATAAAGTGTTAATGACAAAATGTCTTTTTGAAAACTATACTCTTATTGATGGATCACTGCTGTAAATGGTTGCCATAGTCATTTTAGTCCAAAGTTCGAAAAACTATGCAAATATAGGAAATAATGTTTTTTTTTTTTTTTTTTTTCGAATCTGTTACCATGATTATCCTGAAAACCGTTTCCAATAATTTTTGGGGAGATTCTACATAAGAAAACATAAAAATTTCTTTATACTACTATTTCATAGGGACAGTATTGCTATTTCTTAAACAGTAACAAATAGAACCTTGCTTAAATTAGACAAAAGTTGCAGTTTTGTGCTCATTAAAATGGTGCTAAGAAACCTTTGATATCTACAGGTAGATCATCTTTAAGTTGCCCCGGAGCGCCACATCAAATAATAATAGCCGTCCCTTCCCCTACACAAGTCGTTCAGTTAACTTCAGGGTTTGAAATTCACTTGTAAGGGTGTGAATTAGGGAGAGTATTATTATTATTATTATTATTATTATTATTCAAAATACAGGACAAACAATTAAAATTTTCATTTCTTTAAATTCATTCATTCATTTTTGTACTAGATGGAGTTATAAACCTCATTCGAGAAGAAAGTGGGGTTACATATTTTGCAATTTACACTAATGAATAGTTGTTTCCAAACATCTATAAATTTGATACATCTGATTGAAAACAAGTTTCGGTTATAGCTGGTGGTTTTTTATGTTGAGAGGTAAGTAGCCATTGTTGGGAGCAGATTCCTATTTTATTCAAGTTTTGTTTCATTTTGTGAGAGCTTTCCAGTGGCTTACAGTAGATCTTTCCATCGTCTGCATAAAATTTAGCTTCGGACTCGATGATTTTGCATAAATCGCTGGTGTATAAAAAAAATAACAGGAGACCCAAGACCGAGCCTTGTGGTATTCCGCTTTGAAGTGGATGGTTTTTTGACAGCTGTCCATTTATTCTCACGCAGAACTGCCGGCTGAGTAAGAAACTCTTGATCCACAATAATATATTGCCTCTTATTCCAAAATGTTCCAGTTTGCTAAGCAGCCTTCTATGTGGAACTTTATCAAAAGCTTTCTCATAATCAAGATATATCGCATCATTTGGCGGGTTGTTGTCATTCCAAGCTGTCCACTGGTTAAGGGCGCCATTTCAGTGTATTTTACGTGGTCAAAACATAGGTTTACGATTTTTTACAGAACTTATTTTTCACTGGATGGATTTTAATGAAACTTTGGCAGATTATAGAAAAATGTTTAATGATTGAAATGAAACATTTTCATTTGTCCTGCTATTTATTAAATACTATTAAAAAATATAAAAAAGTGATAGTCACAGATGTAGTTCAAAAAACTTTATAGCATTCTACATATTTTTCTGAATATTCTTACCAAATTTTAATAATCAATGTTGCGTACTTTTTAAGTTCTGTACAAAATACGATTTCATCTAAAATTGATAATTTCACTACGTCCATGTTGTTGTTTAGTTCAGGACCTAAATTATAGATGTCCGATGAAGCAAAAGTAGCGAAAGCTTCGGCGCCGTGTTGCCATATTTTAAAATTGTCTTGAATTTAGACAAAACTATATTATTATGGTTATTTACAATTTACACAAATATAAATTATATATACAGGGAGACTAATTTTTTAACGTTTTCTTATTAAGACGAATTTTTAATAAAATTTGGTGCTTTGTCTAAAATTAAAATCTAAATTAACCAATATTTAAAATAAATGTCTTTATACGAGGAAAAACAAAAGTTTGTATTAAAGATGTAATTTTTTTAATGTATGCTGAGTTTTTTTTTTGTAAATAAAGTGTGAATTCGGCAAAATGGGCATGAGTTGGTTATTCAATATGTTAACTATCATGAGAGAAATATGCATCAATGCAATAAAGTGATGCTACTTTGAAGGCCAGTAATGTAATAATATATTTATTAGGCTATTAGTGACACAGATATCTTTTTGCTCCAGTTCATGGTTTCAAAAAAAAATCAGTTAAAATAACACTCATGACTCTTTCATTTACTCTTCAAAAATGTTTTTTATTAGGAAGGATAAAATGAAAAATTTCTAAGTATCCAGTTAAAGCTTTATTTAATTCAATAAATAGGTATGTAAATAAATAACAAAATATTCTTTTCAAATGGCCTCTCGGGCTTTCAGTCGTTTTGGAATATTCCTGTACACAATCTCTGGCATTACATACTGATTATAAAAATTTAGTAATGTGGGTAAAACATTATTCTGCCAAAAATGTTGGTCTCTTAGAATGACTTCTATATGTAGGGGTTGTTCGTCGTTTATGTAAACTATAAAAAAACACATATTACAAATATTGAGCTGTCCTTGGATCTAAAAAAAAAAATTATGAAATGAAAAAAAAAATGCTACTATTATTTTTATTTAACGCTAAAAACACATTTAAATAATTTTATTTTCGTGCAAATATAAAAATATTGAAAGATGAAAAAATATTCAGGCAAATGATTTCAAATTCTCACTTGGTAATAGTAGTTATGATTTCGCTTTAACGACAGCATATTATTTTTTATTTCCAAGCACATTGTAGATTTTTCATTCTCTCCCCGATATTACCGATCTTTTTTTCTAAAAAAAAAAAGTTAAATGAGGTTAATTTTGTTAAAAAAAGCGTAAGTTCAAAATCATACAATAAAAATTAAAATTTCATATTTTTCTTTTTTAGATTTTTATACCTTTTGGACTACGCACCTCAGAAAATCCATACAGGGGTATTTTTGTAGAAAATTTAATTTCCTACAAATTGTTCTTTGGCAATTTTTTTATAACTTCAACTGTTTTGTTGATAAGAACGAAAATATAATGATTTTTGAAAAAATTGGGCTTTCGAAGCCGACACCGATGAGACGGGTTCAAGTACAAAAAAATGTTAGTGGGCACTTTCAAAGAGTCACTAATATACTACAAATTCAGACTAATCGCAATGGGTTACCATGAAATCAAACGGAGCTATATTAATTTATATTTTAAAAATCATGGTCTATTTGTTATTTAAATGGGAAACATACATCGATCGAAAGGAACCACTTAAAATCAAAATTACGGGCTCAAATTTTAAGGGAAGTTTTTTTTGATAAAAGGAACAAAATTTTCATGTGTCAGCGAATCAAAAAAAATGTTCGTTTTAAATGGAACACCCTAAATACATATATATGCCGACAATCTTTTAGGATGGTAGGAGACGCTAAAATACACAATTTTTGTTCTAAAAATGTATGTCCGAAAACTCTTCGTTTCCAAGATAAAAGTTTTAAATAAAATTCAAATTTTAATGAATATCTCGAAACATTTTAATTAATTTCAATGAAATTTTTAAAGTTTGTTGTTACCTATTTTAATAAATTATCTTTTGGACCTTTTAGCGTGTATCCAGCGTTATTATATAATTTTATTAGATTTCTGTTGAAAAAGAATATCACCATGTATATTTTTAAATTTTTATAATGGTTTTGATAAAACGTTATAAAATACAACTCTTTGTCTTTTTTTTTTTTGTTGTATAGAGCCTTTCGTTTTGAGATGTATTTTTAGTTGCTTCAGAGACGTGCATGCAAAAGTTTAGATATTATTTGTTTATCAGAAAGCGAAAAGAAATTCGCAAAAATATAAAGAGACAATAAGTATTTTTAGTTGCTTTATTCAAAACAAGTATCAACATTGTAAATATATAATAGACGCTATAACTTTTGGTTAAAATTCCCTGTATTTCGGACATGTGTTTATTCAACAAAAATATTTACCCCTACCGCCCTTCGGTTTAGTTTATTTTTGTTTAAACTTAAATTTTAAATTATTAAGATATGAAGCAGTGCATAGGGATCGTACTTCCACATATTCTTTTATCACCCTTTGCATCAACCTACCCTTATCTCAAAAAGTATTATGAAAGAGCACACTTTTAAGTACATCCATATTAAAAAATTACAAAGAATACTTTTTAGAATATTTTAATTTAAAATTTTGGCAAAATATTTTATTTGCTAGGAAAAATCAAGGGAGCTATGTATGAAAAGAATGTGAAATTTCTTGCCTCGATGCACTGCCTCACCCCCAAAAATTCAAGATTCCAATTTAAATTTTACCAAAAATAAAGCCATCCAAAATTTTCAGGTGAACTCGGTATAATGTTACACCTGATTTCGATAGATTTTTTAGGAGACTTCAATCCACAAACCATATTTTTTTAAATAATGAATTTAAAGTATAGTTTAATAATAGTAATAGGTACTTACTACCCAAATTTAGTACACAAAAAAACTACACAGTTAATGTAAAATTAACGAAAAATAATAAAAATATACTGGAAATATAATAAACACTCAAATTAAACTTACGAACACAAATCAAAAATACACATAAATAAAACAAATAGCCCATATGTATACTTATTTATTTCAATCATTATTTGGAAATAGGGGTAAATATACCTACCTTTTTATAATAGCTTAGGGAAGGTTAGTGCTACTAACAAATTCTTGATTATTATTTAATCGGATTATCCCAAGTACCTGCTGCTACCCTAATTAGACAGCTAAATATTTAATTCACCATAAACGAGAAAAACCTCGCTAAAGAATTGGTAGACTGCCTAATAATATATTTCAATAAATATGCGGTGTTGACAAATCTTTTTCACCAGACCAACTTATTTGAAAACATAAAATAGGAGTATGTTTCGTATATTATTTAGCTGGCCGATTTTTGCGATATAATGGACAAAATATGGAGGTTAAAGAGTGTAGCTACATCTACGTAGGAAAGGATTAACTAAAATTCACATTTAAATCATTGAATCAAAAACCGGAAGTGCTGTGGCGTCCTTAACTGCACTTAGATTCGTAACAGCAGATCTTTTGAGCATAAATGTATAGTGTTTCTATTGTGGTAAACAATTTTCAAATGTTCTCCATTTTTAATGCGATTATTCATATTTGCTTTTAGGTTTTTAAAATACTCAATATAACGATGGGTTTTATCAGAGGTCACTACAATATGTTTGGAGTTAGTGTTCTGTTTGATGGTTTTACTGCTTTTAATTAGATACTTCCCATCTTTATTCTTTTAGTTTACTTTGGTAGGTCTAGATGGGGATGCATTATCATGTTTTATTTCCAGGCGGAATGTGTTTGCAACGTTTTCTGCGAAATCATTATGAATGTTGAGAATTGTTTGAGTTTGGATCGTATCATAGTTTGGCTGAGTATCTTTTTTAGTTAGGCCAAAAATGTCAATATTGTTTTTCCTGTCAGTGCGCTAATGATATCTGTTAGAACTTTTTCCTCAAGGTTTTGATGGTTTATAGTCCATTTTCACCTCGAGTTTTGTGAAATCATCTTTTAGGACACCTAGTTCCTTTTCAACTCTTCAAACTTTTTTGAATTAGTTTTTCATTTTCCTGTTGAATGAGAGCAAGTTGACATTGTAATTTTGAATCCAAGTAGTTCTTTATTTTCTCCAAAAATCCATCTTCATCGTTGTTGACAATTTTTGAAGTAGAACTATTTATAATAATCTGTTGTTTATCGTCCGAATTAGAGGGGTTGCAATTATATATTTATTTCGTTTCTGTGGAATTACCAACGTTTTAAAAAATATAAATGAAACTTAAGATTATCTATAAATAAATTATAGCATAGAAATCGTTTGCTTTTAAAGTCCTTCAATAATTCATCATCATACTTCATTTTTCTATTGATTTTGATGCCGTTATATTTTGTATTACCTATATCTTTATTATTTAGTTTAGTACCTAATTTAGTATTTATTTTGTCTGCTATTATTCTACTTATTGTATTTGCTATTTTTGTTTGCAAAATTAAAATAAACAAATGCATGCTTAAGAATTTTTTTTGCTGTTGGTAGAATTTAATCCACCAATCCAACCTCAGTGGCCGGAGCGCTATTGATGACGTGTCTGGCCTTTGCTATTAAAAGCATTTAAATTCTACCACTTCAGTTCGTTCTCAAGTACAAACGTAACTACATTTTATCAATTCTTATTGATCATGGTTAAAATTAAAATATTTTAAAATCAGACTTCAACAATATCCGTAACCAAACTGATATCAACAAATGGCTAAAAGTAAAAGTAATAACTTGAGCAGTCACGCCAAAACAATGCCACTGTTGCATTTGACAAGACTGACAATTTAGTTGTCCATAAGTCACTAAAAAAGGTCATTTTCGTTTTTGTTTTACCAGATGAAGACTTTGTATTATTATTATTATTATTATTTTTTTGTGTGTGTCATCGGCTTCAACTGCTAAGGTTATTTCGCCTCGTGTTCTGTGTATGCTTTGTTACTGTTTCCCAGCGCCACTTTAGGAACAGCACTGTTAATTAGAACCCAACAGTGAAGGGTCGAGTGGGGAATCCTACCAAGGCATCAGAATTAATTTTAAATAATTAAATTAAATGAAAAAATTTCGGCCAACGGTGGGATTCGAACCTGGGACCCTTGGATCCACAGGCAGAGGCTCTACCACTGAGCCACCCACCCCCTATAATTATTATTATTATGTCATTATATAATTAGAACCGTTAGGCATTTTAATTTCTTGATAACCATTGAAATAAATATTGAATTATTTGGTTTTCTACCTAACCCATAAATCGTTTTTGATAACATCTAATACAAACCTTTCTTTAGTGTTCGATTGGCAAAATTAATAGAAAATCAACCAAAGAGGAACAAAAAGAGCGTGAGATGTTTATTACATTCACTAGACTCTCAACGTAGTAGGCCTCTTACACCAGTTTGGCGAGATGTATGGGAATGTATGAAACCAGAATGCAAAAAAGACGTCTGTATCATCGAGGCATCTAGTCTACACAGCACTCTAGAAACCTATCTTCGCAAGCACAGATTTTGTGGTGAATGTCGTACTAAAGTTTTGAAAGGTATGAACTAAAAGTAACATAAAAAGGATGAAAATAATATGTTTTTATTTTTTAGCATATTCATTGTTAGTAGAAGAACCAGAGCCTACCAAAGAGAAAGGTTATGTTTCTTCTTTGTACGCCGGCATTAAAAGATGTTTACCAGACAAACATATTCACTTGCAAACTAAGACTGACCTTATAACTAAGCTCATCAGTCGGGCTGAGCCTGAACTTTTAGGAAGGTAAGTAAAATGAAAAAGAGATCATCTGTCATCAGTATGACATTTGTCACTTTTATAATATCTCAATTTTTCTTCACAGCCGTAGAGAACGCCACGCTAAAACGCTCGAAATAGCTCAGGAGGAAGTGTTGACATGTTTGGGTATATGCATGTATGAACGTTTGCATCGCGTCTATATGCGCATGCGCGAAGAAGAATGTACATGTCAAGTGTTCGCCGCTGTGGCTGTTCACACATTAAGCCGCAGTTTTGAGACTGCCGTGGAACGGATAAGGGGCGTTTCGCAATTAGAATTGCTGTATGCAGAATTTGCGCGTGAAGAACAGCAGAAGCAGATAAGAAGAGAACAAAAGAAAATCAAGCGCAAGCGTAAAAAAGGTAAAAATACCCGGTACATTTATTTCCAGTAAATTCTCAGCTATTACATCTGTAATAGATAAGAATTTCTATAAATAAGGAAATCATTCTTTTAAATTGTTTTTAAATACTCTAATTGATGAACTAGATTTAATTTTGTAAGACAATTTATCATAATGGTTGAAAGCCTTTAAAAACAGATGAATTGATAGAATTTCGATTTGTTTTGGAAATATATAAAGACGTCTCCAATACAAAGTATCCCTTTTCTTTAATAAAATACGAATTGAAGTAATATAACTTGCAGGAAAAGTAGTTGACAAAGAGGGCAAAGAAAACTGCAATGATTGTGATCAGGATGAAGACGACAAAGAAGATGATGGTGAAGAATGTACATGTTCACAAGACAAAGGCGATCAAGACTCAGTGGGTTGTTATAACTGCGAGCAATTGCAGCCAGACAATTTTACAACGGATTCAATAAGGGATTATGAAGATTGTTCTAAGATCAATAATAAAAGAGGTGCGTTTTTAAAATATAATATGTTTTACGGGTTTTTCCAAAATTTATTTTAATACTTTTAGTTAGATCAGATTTTAAATTTAGTAATACATCGCATTTTTATCAACTTTGTTCAAAATTCGCCTTTTTCTTGGTAGTTTCCTACAATACAACAAGATTGAGATGGGAGAAGTTATTTTAGTTAATGGCTGAACTTCAATTCTATTGTTTCAGTGATCTATTTGTGTTCACTTATGCAGTGTTGCTAAATTTATCTATTTTGAATTTTTGCCAGTGCGCATCTACTGACTTGACTTCTCAATTTTGTACTGTACATGTATAAAAGGCAAAAAATTGTATCCAATATTTTACTCTCTACATTCTCATTATAAATTCTTTAAATACATTATAATTAACTTATTTTTTTAGGTGATGGTGGTGGTGTGGAGGGAAGAAAGGATAAATTGAGATGTAGCAGTGAATTGTGGATAGAAGAGTGCAAATGTGAGAGTGATATAAGAGATAATAAGAAAAGTGGTGCCACTACTTGTAAATGTGATAATAGGTAAGTTATTTCTTATATATTATTGAACAGTCATTCATATGTGTTATTTTTAATAAAAAAATACAATTATCCCATTCTTTCCCTATGGAAAATTTAAAATTTGTAATACTTTGCATAATAAAATTAAAAAATATTTTCAAAGGTTTGTGGGGATTCTGGACCGTCCCTTTCCAGGTCTTCTTTGGTTGCTGTATGGCAAATTGTAGAAAATACTACACCATTGCCATAATTTTAAACATGAAATTTTAACCTTAACATCGTTGTTCATTCTTGAAACTTCTTGTAATGTACGTAAAAACAAATCAAGCTAATATAAAACTAACGCTCATTTAATGTAACAAGTTGACAACTTGGAATTATTGAGAATTACACCCAAACCTACATTAATTGTTCTTTTTTAGGCAATGTAACTTACAATTAATTGTTATGTTAATAGTAATGTTAAAGCCTTTTGGAATTTTGTAAGTACCAAAAGATCTAATAACGCCATACCTGATAATATGAACCTTAAAGACTCTTTTGTTTCTTGTGGTAGTGAAGTATCAAATCTGTTTGCCAGCATTTTTCATCAGTTTACACTAATCAAAATTTTAACGATATTAAATCAAAACTTAATGTTTCCTCTTACCACATTCCTATTTCGACCATTATCTAATCTTGACATAAAGAAAGGTCAAGGTCCAGGTCTTGACATTATTCCTCCCATCCTACTCAGAAATTGCAGCTTCATATTGTCTATATTTTCAATAAATCTATCGCCACGGGTGAGTTTCCAGATTATCAGAAACTATCTTATGTCACTCAAATATACAAATGAGTAGCAAGTCAGACGTCAAAAATTATCAACCTATATCTATTCTCAGTACTATACCTAAGGTTTTTGAGAACATTATAACAGATTACCTTACCTATGACTGCTCTTGCATCATAATGGATCTTCAATATGGTTTTTGTGCTGGGAAATCGACTGAATTAAATCTAGTTACCTACGTCGACTTCCTGTTGGAAGCTTTGGAGAAGGGTTGTCAGATTGATTCTGTGTACACTGACTTTTCTAAGGCTTTTGACAGGGTCAACCATTCTCTCTTACTTCAAAAGCTCGATAAATATGGCATAAATGGGGTCGTACTGCAATGGATTAGTACGAACAGAACTCAAATGGTTAGAGTAAACCATCACTATTCTAATTCATTTCCAGTTACCTCAAATGTTCCTCAAGGATCACACCTTGGACCCTTATTATTCAACTTATTTATAATATACATCATTCATTGTTTTCAGTATGGCAAAGCACTATTGTTTGCAGATGATTTAAAAGTTTTCCTAATTATTAAAACCCTCTGGCTTCAGTCTGACCTTGATAATCTATCAAACTGGTGTTCCTTAAATGGCATGGACTTGAATGCTATAAAGTGCCATGTCATGTGCTTTTATCGATCCCATATACTAACTACTACTTTTGATTATGACTTAAATGGTCATATCTTGGAGTCTGTTAATCAAATTAAAGACCTTGGAGTTATTATAGATCCCACTTTAAGCTTCAATCAACACATACCTAAGGCTAACCATAAATCCATGAAAATGTTAGGTTTTATCAAAAGGCTAACATGATTTTACTGACGCAACTGCAATTAAGGTCCTTTATTGTTCACTAGTCCTAGATTATCGATCTTCTGTCTGGTCTCCACATTACATAACACACATCAGAAACATAGAAAATGTGCAACATACATTTCTTAGATACATAGCTTATAAATTGAGTGTCCTTTGCGAGTATGATTTGATAGAGAATTTTCTAAAATCCCCTCTTTGGAAACTAGGTAAGAAACAGAGAGACCTGACATTTCTTTTCAAAATTATCAATGGCAGATGCAGATGTACTGAACTGAGTTTCCAAATGTGAATAAAATGGAAGAACACACATTGAAGTGTTTACACAATTCATATATTATGAAATAAATGTTTTAATTTCAATATAGTATATTACATTATGAGTGTGGAAAGTGACATTTTTCACACGAGTGGGAAATATTGTCGCACGGGGCACAAGCCAAGTGCGACTATCACACGAGTGGGGAAAATCACTTTTCACACAAGTGATGTACAATATTTTTCCTACGACCACAAAATAATGTCATCAAAAAATGTAAATCCAGGTTATTATTACTATAATAATTAAAATGTATTTAAAAAAATAATCAACAATAATCGTATTTATTCAATTTTCATATTTTCTAAAAAAAAAAAAAAAAAAAAATTCTGGCCCCGCCAGGATTTGAACGCGGTCGCTCGAAAGGTCTCAAATGGCAAAGTTGATAAGTTCGCCGTTATAACTATCTGAGCTAATAGCCCTTACTTCAATTGAATGATCTAATCAGTTATGTGTTTAACCAGAGTAAAGAGCAAACATATCTTAGTTATTTTAAAATTATTTTAATAATAATTGTTAAAGATAAATATCTAGAATCTAATTTACAACAATTTCAATAATTTAACAATCATATCGATTTTAGTATTAATATGGACATTAAATAGATCAAAATAGAAATAATTTGTTTGACATTTTGTGACAGCTACTGCGGAAAGTAGCATATTCGTACACGGGTGTAAAGTAAATTCTTATTCATACACGTGTGATATAGGGCATTTTTCATAGGACTATACAGGGTGTACCAATAAAAACTCCCAGGCCAGATATTTTGATAAGTAATAGAGATATTTTAATTCTGTAAAAGCCAGTTCATAGAGCACTGAGAAAGCTTCAGTTTTAGATATAAATTGATTTTAAATAGGTTAATATGTAGATGGCGCTGCGCTCAGTAATTTTTTTTCGATGGAAGGATCTTTCTTATATAACGCATCTGGTAAAAAATGCATTTTTAGGCAGATTTTGTTCTATAAACTAATTCGATAAATCTAGCCATTTTTGATATACAGAGTGGGTCACTTAAAACAGTTTTATCCTGTTTTTTGGCATTATTCATTGGATTTTTAGAAAATGCTAAAACAGGTCGATTTTTATTTCAAATTGAACACATTCTTACAATACAGACATCTGTCATGTGTCAACCCCCTCCCTTCCACTTCTCCAACCCCTTAATTTTAAATAAAGAATGTACCATGTACGGCACATCATTAAAAAGGTAATTCAATTCAATTTATTTAGTAATACAGTAATTAGTCTACATTTTTTCATTATATAATAGTACAAACTGTTAGGTGAGGAGCACGAAAACAAACTAAAAACCTAGGTGAAGTGCCTGTGTTGTCTTTTTGTTTATTTCCGGACCCCTTCTCAATTATGTATTAATTTATTTACTATTTATATTGGCAAAATTCTATCTAGTTTGAATGATAAAAATAAGAAAAAATAAATTAAGTATTAATTATATACAAAAATAGACAATGTGGAGAGGAGATCAGCAAAAGAAAAGTAAATTTTGTTAAATAAACAAACAAGGACAGTCCGTAGTAAGTTATGTTTATGCGTATAAAACTATTTGCACATGACTATACGTATAGAATGATTTGCACGTGACTAGATATATTGGTAGGCTTATGAGAGTAAGTAGTAAAAAGTATTTGGGGAATTTATTATATACTTCTTAATTTCCCTCTTAAACAGGTTTTTGTCTATAATACTTTTTAGGTTTGGTGGAAGAACATTAAAAAATTTCGTACCGAAATAAAAATAGGATCGTTGAGTGACTGTTTTTTTAAAGAGAGGGACACAGAGTTCCATATTAGTAGCGGCTCGTGTTTTACCTGTATTTTTAAATTGATATTTTTCAGTAGAGTTATGTATTCTTATTAAACACTGAAGAGTAAAAAGTAATCTTATGTTCATTATTTTTGTTTCATTGTACAAGTCATCGGTGGAAAACAATTTATTCTTTTTAAATATAATTTTTAATAGTGTATTTTGAATTGTTTGTAATGTTTGTAGGGTGGTATTAAAGGTGCCTCCCCATACAGTAATACAATATCTTAGAATCGATTCGGCTAGAGAATTATAAAGAATTATCAAATTTTTTCTAGATAAAATGTCTCTTAGAATATAAAATTGATGTATTAGAGCTCTTAAACGCTTACTAATATGTATTATATGATCTGACCAACGAAGATGTTGATTTATAATCACCCCTAGATACTTCATAGTAGAAACTTTTTCAATATTTGTACAACTACAGTTATTATTTATGCAATCTAGTTCATGTAGTTTTATAGTAATCTCTTGTGGCTGATTTGTGACTAAAGCAGTAAAAGTAACATATTTTGTTTTATCTACGTTAAGCGTTAGTTTATTGTAATTTAACCATAGTCGCAACTTGTGCAAGTCAGACTCAGTAGAAGTTTTTATTTCATTCCAATCAGTACCAGTTACTAGTAAGACTGTATCATCGGCATAACAAATTAAATGTCCAATGAAGTTATTTAATTGAGTGATATTATTTATGTATAATAAGAAAAGTATTGGACCTAGAACAGTTCCTTGAGGAACACCGATTTTTACTTCTGTGGTAGAACTTATTTCACTTCCAATCTTTACTCTTTGTGTTCTATTTGTTAAATAATTGGATAGTAAGTTAAAGGCAGTACCTCGAACACCATAATTACTTAATTTGGCTAGTAAAATTTTATGAGAGACCGTATCAAAAGCTTTGGCGAGGTCAAGGAAAACTGCTATGCATTTCAATGATTCGTCCAATGCCTTTACTGTTTTTTCTAGGAAATCTATTACTGCATTTTCAGTGTTTGAATTTTGTACAAAACCATATTGCCTATCTGTTATAATGTTGTTTTTATAAAAGAAGTTCATAAGTTGTTTTTTAATGCCTGTTCAAAAATTTTTACAAAATTATTAATCACGGATATGGGTCTATAGTTATTTAGTTTTCTTGGATCATTTGATTTGTAAATTGGAGTGAATATAGATTCTTTCCATTCTCTTGGAATTTTTCCACTTGAGAAACAGGTATTAATTATATGTACTAATGGTGTTGTTATATATTCATGAATAAGTTTTATTGTCGTTGATTCCAATTTATCCGGACCGGGCGAGCAATTTTTTTTTAAATTAGATATAAGTAGTATTACTTCATTTTTATTAACTGGTTCTAGGAATATAGAAGCTTCGTTTTTGTCACATTTTAGAAAATTGTTTGGTAAGTCAATTTCATCTAATTTTATGGGAAAGTCAGAAATATGACAGTTTATTGCGAAACTTTTAATTTTAGCGCCCTCTATTGGGATAAAAAAAATCTGTAACGTATTATAAAGTGTGACACTTCATTTGAAAGCTAATTTAATTACTGATTCAATACACCACACAACATTAATATAAATATTTCCATATTGCACTTACAACAAAATAAAATTAGCAATAATGTTTAAAATAATGCATGACTAATTTTCAAACTATTGCAAGTGCAATATGGAGGATATTTATATTAATGTTATGTGATATATTAGATAAGTAATTAAATTTGCTTTCAAATAAGGTGTCACACTTAATACGTAGTTTTTATCCCGATAGAGGGCGGTACAATTAAAAGTATCACAATACACAGTCATCTTTCTAAATTTCCCATAAAATTCCTTTTTAATGATGTACTACACATTGTAGTATCACACTCTATAATACGTAGTAGTTTTTATCCCGCTAGAGGGCGAAAAAATATTTCCGAATCCCCCTTAACATTACCTTTTCAATGATGTGCCATACATGGTACAAAACCTATTTAAAATTAAGGACAGATGTCTATATTGTAAAAATGTTTTCAATTTGGAATAAAAATCAACCTGTTTAAGCATTTTCTTAAAATCCAATGATTAATGCTGAAAAACAGGATGAAACTGTTTTGAGTGACCCACTCTGTATATCAAAAATGGTTAGATTCATCGAATTAGTTCATTGAAAAAATCTGCTTAAAAATGCATTTTTTACAAGATGCGCTACACAAGAAAGACCCTCTCATCGAAAAAAAATTACGGAGTGCAGCGCGATCTACATATTGACCTATTTAAAATCAATTTATATCTAAAACTGAAGCTCTCTTAGTGCTCTATGAACTGGTTTTACAGAATTAAAATATCTCTTTTACTTACCAAATTATCCAGCCTGGGAGTTTTTATTGGTACACCCTGTATAGTCTGATATGTGTCACTTTCCTAAGTGGTCGTAGGAAAAATATTTTTCATACCAATTGCTTAAATTTAATAGATATAGAGAAATTGACCCTTTTTGGGTATTTTTCCGCAAAAATAAATACCTGGGTATTTTACATCAGTATGTGGATCCCAAACGGTTTGTACAAATTCTATCTTTGATTTTATGTTGTGCAGTTTCAGTATCATGTCTTCAGAATGTCTTTCACAGCTCTTTTGATAAGGTAAATGAGACTGTTGACTTTCTTCACTATATTAGCAATGTGGGTTCCCATTTATTTTAAGTTTCTAGATTTGATTACATCAAGATCCTTTTGTGTTTCGACTGGAGTTATCGCCTTTGTATTCATGGTATACTGTGTGTGGGGATTATTTATTATTATTGTTTAGAACAGGCAAGCGACATAGTCGATGAAGCTGCTCCTTTAGTTAGTGACAAAAATTATTTTAAATCACTACATGACAGTAAAAATCCAATAAACTATAAAGAATAAAACTATTTTTTCTTTCTTCGAGTTCTATCCACTCTAGCCTTGAACTGGTTTATGTTCTAGGATGAGACTGTATGTTGCTGGAGACCATTCTAAAGTTATACAATTCTGTTTGTTATGAATTTTTTTCTTTGCAGTTTGTGACACTTTTCTTTATCTAATTTCTTCGAGTGACCTTTCAAGGTTCTTGATGTGAAGTGTATTTGGGTATTTTTGATTTAAATCCACTATCAAAATAACAAATTTTCCGTTTTTAAGCTGTGAATGTATTACAAAAACTACTTTGATAAAATGTAAACAAAAGTTTGTAATCATCGGATAAAGGAACAGTGGAGCACATATGATGGACAAACGATTCGTTTACCTGTAGGATTTTTAAATCCTTGTCAAAATTATTGAAACCATCGACAGACAGATCACTGAAATCCCTGTGAAACCAATTTGTACATTTACTGCAGCCAATGTTGTGACTGCTTTTTGTATTTGAAGCTGAACACTTTTTACAGTTTACTGGAGGCGTTATTTACATTATTTTAAATATGGAACACACTTTGTAAATTCAATAATAGAAAAAAAAAATTAGAATGTACAACAAGAAGATTCAAAAAGTTCTTATTGAAAAATATTGACAAGGTCTCTGATGGTCAAATTACTGCCATCGAATTGCATGCCACACTCTTCCACAAAATCAAACTGACGTGGATCCTACTCATTTCGACATCAAGAAATAATTCCACTTGTAGATGTAGCTTGCTGCAGATTGACTTGTTCAATTTCTTCTGGTTTACTTTCTGATGTACCCTCATACGAAATCACTGAACTGGTATCTGAAGCTTCATAAATTTCCTTGACATCTGAAGAGTCTTCTTAAACATTTTCCCACTATTAGACCGTCAAATAGTGAATTATTTAGGTGCCCCATTTTCGGATACAAGTCTCGAAGAGGGTTGAAAAATATATCGATGTTTAGTAGAATTAAAAAAAATAAGAGTGGTTCTTGGGGATAACACATGGAAAATTCGATTTTCCTTAACAGAAATATTTTCCGATCCCAAAATGCACTTATCCATTCGGGTCATTCAAGCCAATACTTTTTTAGGACTAGTAACGTTTTCATACATTCAAAGGGCTTGTGTGGAAAAATCGGTTAAAATCTCGATTTTTTTTTACAAGATTACGCTCTTATTTCAACCCTTTAGCAACTTGCAACATTAAAGACTTTGATTTCCCGAAGCCTAGTTCTAATAGTTAATTATTTAGGGAACACGGCTTGCGTGAAAATCTAAGCAACAAATACCTTTAATTTCTGTTAAGGAAAATCGAATGTTCCATATGTTATCCCCAAGAGCTACTCAAAATCTTTAAGATGTACTTTTCAACCCTCTTCTAGACTTGCATGCGAAAATAGGGCACCTAAACCTTTCACTATCTGACGATCTATATGCTTCACTTTTTTGCACAACTCTAATGCATTGGTCGCTAATCTTTTTCGAGACATAATGCATAAAACTAAATGGGTCTGGAAGTTTCTAGACATGTTTCGGAAGAATTGGCGCCTCAGACATTACGAGGCCTAGTACGAGATAAATTTGGCTATTTTTTACTACTAAATTTTATTTTAAAATTATCAAACAATTATATATATATTTTTTTGAATGCATAAAGCAAAATTATATGCCCTGGCGTCTGGGAGCGAACTTGACCAAACCACCGTGGCAGTCAACGTGTTAAAGCAAAACATTTCTGATAACGTTACATTGCAATACTTTGATACTGCGATTTTGCCATAGTGTTTTAGTTTGTCATTGTAACAAAAAAAAAACTTATCACTCATCACATCACAACTTAACATTAGTCATGGGATAAGCAGACAAAATTAAAAACAACAGTAGGTAGAATATCTGAATACCTGAGTTTTCTTGTAAAATACTGAAAATTCCAACATTTATGCAAAACTTGATAGTCAACAGTTAGTTAGTTTCTCATTAGAAAACAGCATACATTTAAATTTTTTCCAGCATACTATAATACTTCTTATTTTTTAAAAACAAAGTTGTGGAGAAATTTGTCATTCAATTTAGTGATTTTGTTCAAAATGGCTTTCCGTTTTATTAACGCATTCACGAATATGTATATTTCTTTCAGTCTGCTCAGACCTTTAACATACCTTGGAGATTTCAACAGTAGCGTTAAAAAAGAAAGCGGTTCGAACAGCGACCATTCCCATGACTGTGGTTACTCATCAGAAAACAACAACGGCTGTTGCGAGACGGGTTCGTTGATTTCGAGCCTGTCGAGCTCTCCGGAGGGTTCAGAACTGGCTTGTTCCGATTCTTGTTGCCAACATGATACTGATTATATTACACATTGTAGACTATCTTACGGCGGGACCGGGCATCAAATGAGTCTACAGGAAATGTTAGAGGTAAGTCATCTATTCTATAAACTTAAGAATTCTAGTCTAGAGTCAATAAAATACACTTTTATTGATACCTTACAAACACATGATATATCGATGGTCTCAAATCAAGTCCAAAATTTCGATTTTTTTATTATACAAATTAATTTAGAACAAAATTTTAAAAATAAAGAAATAACCACGTTCATAGGTTATTCATATATTTATTTACTTGTCAACATTATTTATTAAATAATTAATTGGCTTTATTAGGCAATCAAGACAGTTTTATGTTCCTCATCTAAAATGTTTAATTTGGACATTCGAGGTATTGATTTGAGACCGTCGAATTATCATTAATTCAATTTTATAAAAAAAAATGGTATTTATTAGTTTAAAAAATACCTGCATCCATTTAAAATTTTAATCATTTGTCTAGTCTAGAAAAATATTTTTCTAAGAATATAATATATTTAGAAATCAATTATTATATAAAAACTCACAGAGAAAATTAAATGCTTTTATATAAATATACTCTCATGAGCAAAAAATTATGATTATTTTAAAATTTCGAAATATGTTTTTATATTCTGCTTTACTCATTCATAGGAAATATACAAGAAAATCTAAGAGTAAAAACTAAATACGAATATGAAAATTAACTAAAATTTTGCTGGGGAGTTTCTTTGGTTAGGTGTTGGATTTAATAAAAAATACTGTTATTTGAGTGTGTGATGGGCATATACAGTGGAAAACTTTTTTATTATTAGTTTTATCAAAAAAAAATATATATATATATTCGTCATAAAAAATTGGCAAAAAATCACGTCAACACGTGCAGCCCCCTAGGCGAGGGTGGCACCATCCCTAAAATCCTATATGATTCGTCATTTGAAAGGTCTTTCAATTCTCTTTATAATTATATAAAATTCATGTACTTCAGTTCAGTAGTTTTGGAGATTTATTGATTTAAAGCTTATAGTAGACTTTTATAGGTACATCAAATTAGTTTGTACTACTTTCAGAAGAAATTTGAGTAAAAGCATTTAATAAGTAAATGATTTTCTTCACTACGCCCATGGTGTTGAAAATATCGATTGGAGCGAAAGATAAGAAGAGAATGCCTCATACTTATTTTAAATAGGAATTTAGTACATAGTTTGCGATTGATTTGACCAAACTTTGTGGTTAAAATACCTTTTAACACTTTATACATAAATTAACCATGATATATTCCACGGCAGAAAGGGTTGAAATTATCGAAATATTTTTCGGAAATAATCAGTGTGCTAATAGAACAGCACAAATATTTAATGAGCGACATGAGAACAGTAACGTGCATCGAAAATATGTTCTAGAACTTGTAGCGAAATTTCGGGAAACACAACATTAAAAATCCCATAAGGAACGAAGCAATAGAAGTGGGGGTTTTAGGGCAAGTTTATGTAGATCATACGTTAAGTACCAGCAAATTGCATACTGGGTGTGGTGTTAGTCGACGTAGTATCCAAGGGATTCTAAAGGCCCATAGTTTTTATCCGTATAAAATTTACCTTGTACAAGAACTTAATGAAGACGATTACATACAATTTTCTGAAGATATTGTAGTGTAACCAACTGAAATAAAGAGACAACTTAACTAATATCTCTCTCTCTCTCTCTCTCTCTCTCTTTTATAAAAGTATGATAAATCAAGTGGCGGCGTGATCGACTATGAAGTGACTAGGACACCACGAGTGACAGACTGAAAGATTCGTTATCTATTGGCTACTTACGTGTTATTGAGGGAGTGGTAAAGGTTAAAAGAAAATATCTATTGATTTATATCTAATCTTTATTGAAAATTTTATAGATGACAGAATCAGAAAGTAAAAATTTATAAGTATATAAAATATATTTATAAAGATTAAATATAGGTCTGGTTCGGTGCAATAAAAAAAATAATTAATTTATCAAATGAGGGGAAAGAACCAGCAAGAAAACCCCAAAGTTATAATAAATACAATAAAACCAATCAAACGTCAATTTGGATACAAATGACAAATTAAGTATATATATATATAAAAAAACACATTTAATTACTTGATGTTTTAGTTAAAGACAGAAAAATATATGAAATAATATTCAATTCGAGTTAAACACAGGAAAATATATGAAATAATATTCAATACATTATTAAAAAAAAATAATATCTAATACTGCAAGGCAAAAATAAAAATTTTAAGAACAATAAATCATCAGATAACAAACATTGAGCATTACTAGGTTCAAACACACTCGATGCAAAACTGAAGAAGGGTTAATAGGGACAAGGTAATGGGGAAGCTCTACAGCTTTACTACCCACCTAGAGTTGAATATTCTGGTGACAAAATAGGGTAAGTTACCGAGACACCTATCCCGATGTTGTCCCAGCCACGGGCGAAAATGTTAGTATCAATCAACAAGGCATTTTATACTTTTAACTTAGATCTGCCAATGCTGTGAATATCTGATGTTAGAAAAACACATAATTTACTAATATAATATTACTTTTCCCTTGCCGAACTGGTATAACTACAAAATATCAATAAACTTCAAAAATATTTAAATTAAAATATTAAAAGGATGCTATTTTTCACTGATTTAGATAGTAAAATAAGTCATAAAATCAAATAAACTCGTTATTGGAATGCAAGCAATTTTTTATGACAGATACAAAAAAAATGCCGTCAAGAAGAAGCACGAAATTACTTATAACAGTGAAATTCAAATCTAAATAGTGAATAGTTAAATAATATAAAAGTAATTGAAACATAATAATTGATTTAAAAAAGGCACTTACATTTTTATCACAAATAAAACTAACAAAACCTACACCTTTTTAACAGTCACGACATTCCATTCTCTCCACGTTCAATCACTGACATTCAATAATTAATTCCCGTTCCTATGACGATGATTCTCTGCTTCTGTTCCAGCGCATCCACGACTTTGGTTCCTGGAATTTACCGCGGTCAAAAGCGATAGAATAGGTGGACGCTTTATATTGCCATTCAACGGGGACGGAATTAAATACGATCCCTTTCAATATGAATGAACGAATTATAATCGATGAACAATTTCTATTCAACACTTGCTTTTCCGACGAATGTTCCTTTTTTTTAATGGCGTAGTAAATCGTCATAATTGCCGATATTGGTCCGATTCTAATCCTAGAATTTATCATCATGATGTACACACAGCAGCCACAAAAATTAAATGTTTGGGCTGATATTTTTGACGATCATTTAGTTGGTCCTTTTTTCTTACCTGGAAATTTGACTGGTGAAATGTATTTGGAATTATTGCAAGATGCCATAGATCTTGCACTAACAACCATAATTGAAAATCAAAATGATCGGTACAATGCTAATAGGTTGATATTCCAACAGGATGGTGCCCTACCACATTACGCATTACATGTTCGACAATATTTAGATCAGACGTTTCCAGGTTGATGGATTGGTAGAAGAGGTGCCATTGAATGGCCCCCAAGATCGCCAGATTTATCACCTTTGGATTTTTTTCTGTGGGGTCACTTAAAAAGCAAAATCTATGCTACTCAGCCAACATCGTTAAAAGATTTGCGACAAAGAATTGTGAATGAGTGCTTTCAAATTACTTCTCAAATATTGCAAAATGTGCGGCAACGTTTTCAGCAAAATTTTATTACTGCATGGAGAGTCATGGTGGTCATTTTCAACATGTATTTGGCTGACGGGTCAGTTCTTTCTTCATTTTTAAACTACTTTGCTGCTAAATGTATTGATCTCCACTAATGATGATGTATTAAAGTCTACTTTAAGCTTTAAATATCCAAAACTACTGAGAAGTACATGAATTTTACATCATTATAACGGGAATTGAAAGACCTTTCAAATGATGGATCATTCGACCCCCTTTCCATTTTAGATTTTAGGGATGGTGTCACCCGAGAATAACGATCAAGGAGAAGCGACAGATTGGTGTTTTTAGGGTACCGTTTTGTAACGCGCATGTGCGAAAATAAGTTGTGTATCACTCAAAATGATGTTATCTGTCAAAGTCAGTCAAAGTTGTGTTTAGTACGTGAGCAATGTTAAGTGATATTTTTTGGTGTTTGTTTTGTGTAGTAATAAGATGAGGATCTTTACACACTTAGGTATTCTAATGCAGATATAAAATGTGCCAAAAAAGTTATTAGGAAACTAAGAATTTTATCACATGCATAAATATTAAGTATAATGATTTAATCATTTTTGACATTTTATTTGTCATATGTTGGCATTGTATTTTGTGAAATATATGTTTTTCTTCTTTTAAATAAATTTAATAAACAATGAACTGCAGATTTTGTTTATTTTATTTTGAAATTATATTTAAAAAAATATAATAAATTCGCGTGTTTCAATTAGGATTGGTCAAAGTGGGTAAAATCCCTTTATTACGGCTAAATTGTAAGTTACAATTATGTCAATATAAAGATGTTTTGCCCATTCATATTTACATTCATTGAATGAATCATACTGTGGTTGATTTTGGAAATATTGTTGCATTCTTAAATAACCAATCTTGTAAACGTAATCTTCACAACTGGAGTATTTCCAGATGTTTTTAAAAACTCAAAAGTTATTCCGCTTCTAAAAAAAGGAGATAGTTCTGTTCCTGATAACTATAGGCCAATATCTATAACCAGCGTTTTCGGTAAAATAGTAGAAAAGGTTATGAAGCAAAGGCTCAATGATTATTTTAATAAAAATAATTTCTTTTGCGAATCACAATATGGTTTCCATAATGAACGCTCCACTATTCAAGCTGTTCTTAATGTTGTTAGTGGCATAGTTGAGGGCCTAGAAAGAGGTGAATACACTGCAATTACGCTATGTGATCTCTCGAAGGCCTTTGACTGTGTCTCTCACAACATTCTGCTGAAAAAACTACATTATTATGGAATTAGAGGTGTACCCCTGTCACTCATTTCATCTTATCTGAAAAATAGATCGCAGGCTGTATATTTTAATAATACCT